GCAATATCAGCTGATTCTGCACGGACTTTTAATTCTGCCATTTTATGAAAATCATCCTCTACTTTGACAATACGATTTCCAGCACTATACAAAATATAACCCACTAATAAAAGAATCACAAAAAATAAGAATGCCGTGGTAAGTGCTATCCAGTTTGTCGGTGCCTTCTGGTGATACCTGTTTAAAAACTTGATGATAAGCATCTGTGACCAAACATTTTACAAAAGGTACAACAGCCAGAGGCACCTACCTACATATCATTTTATGTTTCCTGTATGGATCTCCAAAATCAAGCTTACTTTCATGGACAAGAGACATGTCACCTTCTTCATCTTGCTTCCCATACATGATTAAGGGATCAGTAAAGTTTGTGATGTCATATACGTTCACCAAAATTGCTTGGTTACCAGCAAGTTGACCAAGTAAATTCTCCACGAGGGACTCAACATCAAAGGATCCTCCAACATATCTGCTTCCAATTAAATGTTTCAGCAACACCATGGAATTCAGAAGCTTACGGATAATATAAAGCCATCAGATGGAACCAAAACTAACAAATTCTACAGGTTTTCTATAGAGGAATTATGGAATTCCAACCACAAACCAGAAAAGAAAAGAAATTAAAAAGACTAGTAGCACAAAAGCAACTGTTACAATGGATATGAAACAGAAGTGAGTATCATGTCTTAGGTCTTCATTACAGGTAAATGCAGTAGTAATGGACACAGCAGCCAGAGTAAGTCTGTCCTTTATCATGTATTGACATTTAGAGGAATTATAAGGGTTACAAACTGAGTCTTGAACTTGAAATAGGTGAAGTATTCAGAAGAATTATAATTATTTTCATTATTTTGAACTATATAAAAAAAATGCATCACTTAGGCATTAATCCACCTAAGATTTTAACCATCCCTCATCCTCTTACCACTCATGAGCCACAAGACAGACAGCAAAATGTTGTGAAAACAAACATGGCACAAACCATTAAAGTATTGACAAGGACATACCCAGCTGTTGCTTTAATACGCTCTTCCATTGTTGGCTTTGTAGGGAGCTTAGATTTATAAACAGGAAATGTCAAAACCACACCAAGATGATGAGAACCCAACAGCTTAAAAGGGCTAGTGAGAACAGCTTTCCCAGTGGCCCTAGCCCTCAAAATATTCTCTCGGTCCTCCTGCATCACGCATCAGATAAACTAAAGTCAGAAAGTTATAGACTGATTATATAAGCAAAAAAAAATGTTGAAAAGGTTTGCAATTTACCTCCCCGGACATCATATCAAGAGATTCGAGGTAAGAAAGAGTTTCTTGTGCAAATATCACCGGTGCATACTCATCTCTAACCTGAGAAGGCTTTCTTTCCATTGTCTTTATAACCCATCCATGTTGCTTCTCAAATGATTCTCTCTCGGAGTTAACCACTCTTTGTGCATAGGCCACTCCACTGAGCAATGGTCTTTCAAATGCTGTCCTGGCTGTATAATCTGCAAAGGTTTCCTGGTGAGCAACAAACAATAGTCAAGATATGCAAAAATCTGAGTAGAAAAACCACAAGATTGCATTAGAAGAAATCAGAAATGAGAAAATAACAAACCCAACTTGGCATAATTAGTTCTAAGCACAGAGCACAATGAAAGATCAAACACAAACCTGGTCAATTGCAGAAGGTGTTCTGTAGTAATGGAAGGTTGAAACAAGGATGGCAAGGGCATGGACATGGTTGACACTAACACTGAATTGATCTTGCAGCATTCTTGCCCTTTGATCACAGAGGCTACCGAGCACCTCTTTTCTTCTGACTTTAGTGTCAGCATCCATTTTAGTATAGATGCACCAACCAATTAGAGCCATGAGAAGGATCCACAACATCAAAAGCTTGGGAAGCCATGCCCTATGTGCCTGAATGAAAGTGTTCTTTCCATTGCTCCCTGCTTGCTCACTCTTCATCTTCAACCCAAGACCTATCACCATCAATTTCTCTCTGCCCCTATCTTTCTTCCCTATTCATCATCTATAAAATTTCTGAAGAAACCCAAAAATAATTGTGGTTAGTGCTTATGTAGGAGTACTACACTTTGCTTAAAGCTTAAAGCTGAAAGTGCTCGCAAAAAATCATACACTTTTCTCTGATGGTTGCAACAAAAAGGTCACAGATCAAAACTCTATGTACGACATCATTGCGGCATTGTTTTGCGCGATTCAAAACTCAGAAAGAAGACACAAAAGCAAACCAAGCACAATGAATGATTGACCAATTGGGTAAATTATTTTCTTTGTTTTATCTCTTATTAAAGAAACCAAGTCTATTTCAAAATCCACCACCCAAAAAAGGAAAAAGAAAAAGAAAAGAAAAAAATGTCACACACAGACACAGAATTTAAAAGAAAAATATCTGATAAACAAGCACGAGTCTCAAAAGCTGTTAAAAAAAAAAGCTCAATTTCCAAAGAACCACCTTCCCCTCCCCCAACAGCCAATATTTGTGTTTCAACAGCGTTTTAGGATTTAAGGATCAGAATAAAAAAAAATTAAAGAGAACTATAATCAATAATCATGCTGAGTAGGCGTGAAACTAGTGTTTGCTTAAGGACAAAGAACAGCACGTTCACCTTCTTTCCTCTATATAATAATCAAAGCCAGAGATTGACCTCAAAAATACCATACACACACAGCGAAGCACACAACCCAATGAGAAAGGGATAGAGATGGTAAAGAGGGTTGTTGAGACTTGAGAGCAAGAAAGAAAATAAAAAACCATGTTTACCTGTCTGTACAGGAAAGAGAACAAGGTGGCTGTACAATGAACAATTGGAACCAATTTGGTTTGGTATTGATCTGAGTGTGCCCCCCTTCTCTCTCTCACACCATGTACTTGTTCAATTTTTTATACCCTTTTTTATTCTTTTCTCTTGTTTACTTTTTTCTTGGCTTAATTTAAGCACATAACATAACTAAATCGAATTTTCCCGATTTTCCCAGATACGCTGTTGTCCCCCTTCCACTTCACAGTTCACACACACAACACAAAAAATATAGTACATCAGTCAAGTCAAGACCTTTCTCTCTCTCTCTCTCTCTCTCACTCACTCATTCTTTGCAACAATGCTAATGAATTTCTTTTCACACCAACTGTGTCCCGCTGTCAGCTCCCCAAGTTGGTAATTTTTTCAACAGGCTTAGAAGAAACTCAACCTCCCAATTCAAAGAACCACGAAGCACGAAGCGTTTGGTATGGACTATTATGGATCGTGACCAGTGAGTGAATGAAGTGTTAACTAATTACCTTTTTGGTGTATTTTCCAACTTTGGAACCTGTATGACACAGAAAAGATTGAAACTTTACAGTCTCCTCCACACTATCTTCACTTCAAGCACGACACTTTCATGCAACCCGAATCATTTTTATCTTTTCCCTCACCTGGGTCTTTCTCGGTTCACCATTTTCTTGTACTTCTGTTGCGTTACAACGTTAAGAATTGAAACGGCAAAGAGAGAAAAACAAAAAGGAGGAGAGAGAAAAACCAGAAACTGGAAATCGCAATCACAAATCTGAGCGATAATGACATGGCGACAAGGCGCGGATCTTATTCCCGCCTGAATTACCGGAAATACCCTCACCATATTAATTACTTAATTAATTAATTAATTAGTTGGCTTGTCTTTGCTCTTATTGTGACTTTGAAGACTAATACGCCAATGTTACCTTCACACAGTACAAGCAGTTATTTTAGTTATTTTTTTAGGTTTTCTTTGTCAAACTAACACAACATTAGTTAATGTTTCATTATTAAATAACCTTACATTATAAAAATGTGTTGACCTTACCTCCTTGTACTTTTGCTAAATTCGTACTTTGCCTTAGATTATTCGATTAAACTTTTTGCTTAAATGCCATTGTTGGAAAAATAAATCAAAGATGCAGTAATATTTATTTCCTTCATTTTTACATTAAATTGTATGTTTGTCAAAAAATTATTTTGTTTTAAATAATGTTTTTATTTTTTAAAACTAATAATCAAAATAAAAGAGTCTTTTACCCGTGAACATCGGTTTAATTGGTTGGTACAATATGTACTTTTTCCACCACTGTGTTCCACTATCAACTTTGTCAAAGTCAACTAATATTGTTGTTGTTATTTGAATAGTAATTTTATTAATGAATCGTAATTTTAATTCATTAATAAAATTATGAAATTCGCAATTTTTTATATTTTGGCGAGGACAGAAAGTAAAAGACTTTCAAAGAAAACATTAAATAAATTATTTACATTAAGAAATGTGAATGAAAATAAAAAAACTAATACATTTATTTATTATTTAATATTTATTTATCTTACCATGATAAAAAAGCGTAAAAATTAATTAAAAACTATTAATAGCTGAGAGCACTATATAGTTGATTATAGTTTTCTGCATAAAAAATGTTCATTTTATTTTTTAGAAATTTAACACATGAACTATTTTTCTTTTCAGTTTTATAAAGTGTTTATTTATGGAATTTTCAGTGTGTTGTTAACTTCTTTTCAATTTTAACACCAAACAGTTAAGTGTCAACTATCGTAAGTGGCGGGTCAAAATTAGATTTCACATCCTTCTAATAAGTTTAATCAATCACAACTACAGTGTTTATTTCTCTTCTGATTTACATAATTGCGAATATACTAAGTTTAATGTCCATACGTAAAAAATAGAATAGTCTTTCCCGATTATTTTTTTATGAAGGAATCATAAATTTTTTATATTTATTTAATTAGAATATAAAGATAAAATATTATAAAAATATAAATTTAATGTTTAAAAAAAAAATAAAAATAATAATCATTACAAAAATGTAAAAATTTAGCTGTGTTAAGATATTTTTTTATTTTATTTATCTAGATGAACAATTTAAAGATTACTTTTTAGTTTTAACATAACTACTGTACTATTTTTTTTATGTGGTTTCATTCATATAACGTTAAACATAATTAACTATATAGATAATAACACGATAAAATAACACTAATAATTTATAAGATTTCTAATTTCCATATATATATATTTATCGTTACCAGGACTCTTTTGAGTCAATTGAAACCTTAGTTTCTTGTGTTTCAATTATTTATTTAATCCATATTTTCACAAAATTACACAATTAATGATATTTTTTACTCAGTTTACTATTATTGAAAATGATTGTAACAACTATGGGAAGCTTATAAATAATAAAACCAGTCTCACCAAAGCAAAATATATCACATGATTAACATGATAATTATAAATTGTTAATTGGGTTTTTTTATTTTATCATCTCCTTAATAGAAGCTTGGTTACATGTTACTTACAGAACTTTAGTTTTTATTTATTGTAATCTACTCTCGATGCATGTGCTCTAATACGACCAAATTAACATGTTATATCCCTTTCTAAATGCAGATACTAGCTGGCAACAAACCTCAGTTGCATGATAATAATAATAATAATTAATAAAATCATTATTTTTTTTGATTTTCTTGGAAAAATTTGGGATCAATTTCACTATGTAATTTACTTTTCTATTTTTGTAATAAAACTATAGTTTCAATTTTAAGAGCTGACATTGAAAATGTTATATAAAAATGGTAAATTAAAAAAGGGAAAAAAATGTTAACAGCAAACGCTTATAACTTATTTTGTATAGAATTTAATAATTCGATTAATTTGTTTCTATAGTTCATGTATTTGAAATACTGTCTTTGTCATTTCATTATTAACTGTATATAAACTGGTTACAATTAATTTGGAAGAACAAAGAAAAAATACATTTTAAGTGTAAAAACACGTTAAATTTAGACTTGCAATTTCATCAGTCTAATCCATTAATATTCGAAATATATAAAAAATAATAGACTGTCTTATATAATTAAAAGAAAATTGAGAAGACAGTGTGTGAAAATAATTACAAATTTATACGAGTGATAGATTCATGTTAATTAATAATTATTAACATAACTCAATTTACTGATTTTTTAACATATATACGGTTTTAGTGGTACACAATGTATACCAAGCAAAAAGTAATCTTTTTTTCATCTATTATTTCCTCCCTATTTACCTAACAAAAAATATCCAAACAAAAACCTTTTTTTTTCTTATTCTATATCTAAAAACACAATGTTATATAAGTGTTTTAGTTTTTAATTTATACTTTTGATTTATTTTGATTATTATACTTTTTTTAATTAAGTTCTTATTTTTATATATGGTATATTCTTAAAAAATTAATATTAATACTTTTAAAAGATCATTTGTCAAAATTAAAATTTGTTACATAAGTCATCAATTAATATTATCCATTTTATTGGACACACCATTTTTTTTTACCAAAATTACTTTTAAGATATAAGTATCTACTTACTACTTTAAAACAAGTATCAACAGTACAAACAGAAGTAGTTTTTTGACTAACATGTGCATGAACCTCCAATATCTGTCACCAACAGGACCCTTTTATTTATTATTATACATATATCCTTTGATTACTTTGATACTTCATTTCTTCACTTCAGTGTACTTTTTCTGTCACATTTCTCTCTTCAAAAGCCACCATTTATTGCATCCCATTCAAATAATTTGGATTTGAATGCCTTGCTTTATAAATTTATAATTTTATAATTGAAAATAAATTATTAAAACATTATCACGATACTTTTGAGTTTATTAAAAAAAAAAATCCAATCACATAAGAAATTAACATTATTTTTTATTCAAAATTTTAAAATAATAAATTTTTAATTTAATATTTTATTTTTTCATTTTATCTCAAATACAAAATTATTAAACTTACATTTAATAATTCTTAATCGTTACACAAATTATTAATGATTATAAAGATTTTCGATATACAAATGATTGAGCTTAATTACATAAGTCACGTCATCTTTTATTCAAATTTTAAATAATAATCTAATAAATCTTTAATTTATACAACTGTTATTTTATTTTCTTATTTCTGTTCCATACAAACTTAGACTGAAAATTTAAAATTCTAACATATACACATTATTCACGATATAATAAATATCTGGTATGCGAAATTATCCGAATCTGATATAAGAAAAGACGATGACAGAGAAGTTGGGAATAACAATAATCACTGAGCGGTGATCTTTTGTAAGTGACAGTATGGTTCTGAAAAGGACAAATATAATGGTGACATTCAGCCTTAAAAAAATTTGTGTGTCTACTAAAGAAAGAAAGAAAAAATAATTGATGTTATGTTTGATTGATTGAAAGGAAGCTGACTTCTTCACGTACAGAGAGTATTGTCTTTTATATCCACCATTGCTTCACATCCACTGCAACAAATAATGTGCTAAAAGGTTCAACAAAGGCTCGACTTTAACATAATCATCCAAAAGTAAATTAATCACCAATATTATATCCAAATTTTCAAATTTGGAAATTTGAAATATATAAAAATGAAACAATATTAGTATATAATAAATAAAATTAAAATTTGCTAAATTTAGTCATTTTTAATCTTTGAAATAGTCTTACTTTGCAATAAAAATTAAATTAATTTATTTTTAAAAATTTAAAATTAATTTAGTCTCTAATCTTTAAAATTGTGTAAATTTAGTTATTTTAATCTAAATTTGTTAAATTTATTTCAGATTTTCAACGTGTTTCTCAGTTAATATTTGAAAAAAATATATCAAACATAAATAATTCATATGCTAAAATAAAATGTGTCTTAAAATATCAGATAAATTTATTAAAATTTATTAAAAGAATTAAATCTACGTATATTTAGAAAATTAAGAGACTAAATTGAATTAAAGTTTGAAAAAAAAAACTAATTTTAATTTTCATTAAAATTAAAAAATACAAATATATTTAACCTTAAATAAAAAATAAATAAACTTATTAGGTTAAGATTTTATTATAGAATTAATCTTCTTATTCTGGATTTGTTCACAGTTTATTAATATTAAATTTTTTGAGATTTTTTTTTTAAAAAAAAAAAACTTTACAATGATATCATAATAACAACACAAAGAAAAATATCATTATTTACCTTAAGATTTTAAATAAATTAATGTTGTAATATTTTATATAAATTTACTCACAGAAATTTGATAGTGTCAAATTTTCTACCATCTCTTACAAACCTTCACATACTATGTTATTTATACAGCAAAAATCTAATTAGGTTGTATACGTATAAAGAAGACATGAAGGTGATGAGTGAGGAAAAGAGATAAAAGGTAAGAATAGAAGAAGATTTTGTGTTCATTTACCTGAAGTGGAAAAGGAGAAGGAAGGACAAGTACGTAAGAGAAGAGATGTTGAAATTGCAACAAAAGTGTTTGTCCAACAAAACCCACACCCCTCTTAATTTGAGGAGTTTATATATAATTACATGTATGCAATTATATTTGAAATATATAGTTTGGTACATGCAAAAAATAATTAATATTTGAGAGGGAAGATTGCATGGGGACCATTCTTTTTTACCCTTAAAAACCAAATTATTATAAGTATATTGGTTTAAGCATCAAGCATGTGTTGTTTTAATACAATGA